GTCTACACGGTGGCCGGCTTTTTACGAGTCGGAGATGCTATCCCAAAATAAAAGCAGGGCCATATTGTTTGGCCTGACTCCGTGTGCGAATCGTTCATGTGTATGCGTCAGGTCGACTAACTGGTGCTATTCCCGGTGAAAACAAACAGGCTGTCTACCGACAAGGTGCCCCTCTCCAGTCCTCGTAATCGTGTGCAGACATGAAAGCGGTTATTAGTTTGACTGAGGTGTCACGGTGTTTATCAGCAAAAAACTCGGTAGGGATTCTCAAGACCGTGAACTCCTACATAAACAGGAGCATTTCATGTACGCATCTCACCAGTCACCAGATTCCCACATTACTTGGTCATAACGATATCCCGCTATCTAATTATTCTTATTGGCGCGGCCTTTTTTCCTTAGCCAAACAGCCTTATCTTCCACGTTCTCAAGATTGTGAATCGAATCTCTCTGAGACATCCTGTCTGATGACGGGTTGTTGTTAATAAGTAGAGAAACCCGGAAATTCTTGGTACGCGAATTTTCTGTAAAGTCATATACTGAACGGTCGCCGGCGGACCACATTCTAGGGGATTCCAGTCGGCTGCGCTTGTCAAAGTTAACCTCTTCTCGTGGCAATCCATGAAGCTATCCGAAGCGTCAGCTGATGTCGCATTTCGAATGTCATGTGTGTCCTCAATTTTTTTGCGCAGGTGAAGATGCGATGTCCCGTTTTGCCGTTTTGGCTGAGAATCAAGTGTCAGGTTAAAACAAAGTGGACTTAAGGAATGTAAGCCGATATTTCTCGAACCAGTGACAGGAAGGACAATTAATCACCTTACCGTTATCACATGGAAATGGTGTTCACCAATCGACTCTGACTACAGAAAGGAATGTGGGACAGCTCTGAAGCTGGGTGCCTCGCAGGTGGCCACAAAGCAACTGCAACCAATGCAAACGATCTACTAAGAGAGACAAGACACACTAGAAGGACTGTTTCTGGCTGACTGCCCATCGCCAGCAAGTCCTACGACGACGGAAAGTGTTCGCGCACCCGGGATTTAAACATGAGTTCGGCGGGTTGCCGGTGGCGGTAAAGAGGCAAAAAGTGGCTATTTCAGTTTGCCGTATCTTTGCTGGAGTTGACTATGGGCGGGTTGTCTCCTCCTTCATTTATTCTTAACCGAAAACCAGCTTATTTTGTGAGCTGCTGCAAAGTTTTCCGGGGCTGTAAACGTAGTGTTTCTGCCGAATCCAACTTCCTTCCGGGCTTTAAATGACCCGAGTTAGGTTTGTGAGGCACCACCTCCATTTGGCAGATCCCTGTTGGTTGGAGGCAAGGTGTTTTAGTCTTAAAAAGCATAAGGACGATCACGTAGGATGCTTCTCATGATTTACCAATACTCGTGAGGAGAGCTGAGTAATGAGTGGATGCAAAATATAGATTGTAACAATAAAAATAGTAAAATAAAATATAATAAAAATAACATAATAATATGACCCTTACAAACCTAAATACTCGATGTGCCTTCTACATGGGCAGAAGAGTACAGCAAGAGAGCTAATTTCCATAGAGGTCCTGCTCCTAGTCATTTACGTGCGACACTCCGGAGTGTCATGATGTAGCTGGTTAATGTAATTTATAATAGCGACATTCATAAAGATCCACTGGAGAATTTAAAAATTAGAAACTATGTGGTTTCCTGCAAACAGTTACCTTCTTTGGATGTCCATCGTCAACGCGTCTAATGCGCATTATAAAACCAAAATCAAAATAATCTGTCGAGGTAGTCGATCTGGGCCTGATCGACTTTTTGCTTTTTCACTCTCAATATTTTTACGAATGCAAGAACTATCTGCGCTGTTAGTCGCCCCCACGACGGAGATCATTCTGACGGATAATTTGTGTTTGGAAATACATTACATGTTTTCCATTCGTATTTCATGAGTTCTGGTGAACGCAGCAGTCGTGATTTTAGATACTTCGCTAAGCAGGTCGATTTTATTTCTGCTGGGACCTTTGGCTCTAGGAAGCTTTTTCTACAAGTTCTTCCCGCTCCTGGTATATACGGGTATACAGTTAGTGACCGATCCCATGAAATGTCCGGAATTCTGAAATGCGTTTTCGATTAGGAAAGATCACTTAGGTGGAGTTGTAATATTGATTATCTAGCGGCATAATCCACTAATGCTTCGGACTTGCCAGGATGTCGGCTTTTGAATGCTCTTCTTTTCGCTCTCACGCAGAAACCACACTCGGTAAACAATGACTATTTAAGTAGCATGTATTTTCGCACTGATTTTCGATGGTCATATAAATTTAAATATATTTTATAGAAAACATGCACAAAATGTGCATTCTTCCACTTATTTGGTTACAAATCATGTCGACTTTACATTTAAGGCTGGAAAACAGAGCATATTTAGGTCTTAAAAAGTTTTCCAATTCCCGAAACATTTTAAGCCAGATCATTCGCTACATTAGCGTTTAGCGATTTAGATCTACAAGGCACATGCCTTCCGTGTAAGGAAAACCATTTATTCCTCTGTGTCATTTAGAGTTTGTAAAATTTTACAATGAGCGCGGACTATGTTATAAATATTATGAGGAGCATTGGTAACCACACAGGTACGATGCTGTATGAGTGTACATTGCGAGGTCTTAAAAATCGTATTATTGCCTTTTTCTTGATTGCCGGAAATGTATCCTCCTGAGATGTAGCACGCAAATTGGAAGAATGGATAGGAACACCTAACATGGCACGTACGGTTTATGAGTGAGGCGCTGAATCAGCATGTTTACGCGGTAGCAGCTGTTAAAGAAGACGTTAACGTGGATCCATTTTTAGCGCAGTGAGTGACGTAATCCAGCAGGTGCTGAGATCTACGACACATCCTGTTCAAGACGGTCGTTCACCTCATTGAATAGCCTGCTCAGCAAAGATCGGAGACATTTTGTAGCCATCGCCGGGAACTGTGTCTACAGGGGAACGGCCTGATCGTTGGTAGAATATAATGCCTGGACACCGTATATCAACGCATCTCCTGATCTCTTTATTTTTACTGAACTTTCGTCGTAGTGAAAACAACTCTTCTTAATCCCTTAACTCGGACTCATATGACTTAAACACCAAATTAAAAATTGAAACTGTAATAAGCAACCGACTCCCCTGCGAAGATATCCTTGTCTACCCTTGTGCAGATGGGAATTTGGTTGTTGCGGTGTTCCAACTAGTCGACACTTGCACTATTCGAAGGTTTTGAAACACACCAAGGCAAGCCTCCTCCATGACCGTTTCAGGACTGACTGACACGTAAGCCATTTAAATGAGCTACGCAACCTCCGTACGAACAGACAAGGGCCAATAGGGCAGCAGCTCGGATTTCGGAAGGTCATACTCTGTATTAAAATAGTATACGAGGAGGTTTTACAACCTTCGCGTCCACTGAGATAAACATGGCCCATAGACCACATTCGTCTCCGTAATGTGCCACGTACGAACACGTCGTCGCCCAACGAAGACGCAGCAGTTGTTTACCGAGTATGCTGCACTGGTTCGGACTGCTACTACGTTGGGGAACCCGGATGCGAACGGCATTCACCTCTTCACGAAAGCCGATTGACAAAACGGGGTTGAGACCCCAGGTCTCAACTTGCAAATCACATTTGCGAAACCTACCATACTTCTGACACTCAAGGAACTATCATCGTAGTCCAGGGCAGTTCAAAGACAGAGCGGCTCACCTTTAAAGCTTTTCTGCATATTGCGGTCGACGAAGACGTTTCATCAGAAAAAAACCTCTTAAAAGTTGATATAAAGAATATGATAGTAACATAATTGGATTAGGTGCAAACTACAGAACATTTATGTGACGTAAAACATTCGAAATGAACATGAAAAAGCTCAGGGAACCCTAAACAAGACATCCGAAAACAACAGATGCCAGACAAAAGGCCAGTTCAGCGAAGTCATGTAATAGGTGACTTGATCGCTGGAACAAGGATTTCCTTCGGCTAATGTCACGTTTTCCCATTCGTGCTGGAGGCAACGGTATAGAGGAGGACCCCACTTAACTGCCAGTAGACTGTGAAACGTACCATACGTGATTTATGGTAAACAGAATTTTATGAGTAAGGCTGCACGCTGGACAGGAAGTTGACAAACTGAAAGAAAACGCAGAAATTACCTGGATTTATGCCGAAAGTCTTATCCCACACTACTGTATGACAACGGAAATGAGAATAGTAATTAAACAATAAACAAAATGTAAATCTCACGAACTAATGAATTTTGAGTTCAGATGTGAGGTCATGGGAAGTAATCGTTGTTGGCAGTGCAATTTCTGCAACAGCCTGCAAATGTATGCCAAGACAAAACCCCATATGACACTATCCACAGTCTACTGACAGTTAAGTGGGGTCCTTCTGTATACCGTTGCCGGGTTGGCTGCCAGGGAGAGCAACAGAAGTGGGGAGCGGGCAAACAGGGGGTGAAGCAATTATAGACTGCACTTGCTGCGCCCTCATGCATGTACAAAAATTCGTAACTTCCGCAGTCAGAGTCCATGCACGTATCGGATACACGGATGACCCGAGCGCCAGCACGAAAGTCGTCGGTTGCCATAATTTCACTGCCGGTGTTGACGTCTGAAATGATAGTGACTCGAAAAGTTGGTTTTTCAATACTGTTGCTAAAAGCGACTCTCATCCGCGCACCTGTCAGATTCCGTAGGCTGTTAGAGTGAATCTGCTCACTTTGGCTGCTTAGTCATTCACTTTTAAACAATTTGAATACCGACCGACTGGGACGGAGGACAGCGGTAATTACTCACGAAGTGACGCGCTGCAAGGTGGACATTGCTACTTTCGGGGCTAACTTGAGTAGGTGGGTGTCGGCAACACCTTCTTTTGGACTGGCCGCCTAAATGAATAGCGACGCAACTCGGACGTCGCCTCTCCCATCCCGAGCAACACCGTAGGACGACTGTCCAGTGTGCCATAGAGCATCAACGATCGGCTGATGAGTCAGCGCCTGCCTCTTCGGCGATCCCATTTCGCCACCATCGCCAGCGCCTACGCCCCATCAACGGCCGGCTATGATGAGGCGAAGACCAAGTTCTATGAAGACATGCACGCCCTCCTGTCTTCTGGGCTGAATTCGGACAAACTGACTGTTGTTTACCGTCCGCGTCGGGGAAGACCACCCTGCCTGGAGATGAGTGCTGGGTCCCCATGGAATTGGCGGCTACAACCGTATCCTTCTGCTGAGAACCTGCGCAAAACATCGCCTTCTCCTGACCAACACCTTCTGCCGCCTGCAGACGCGAAGAATGCGACCTGGATGCACCCACGATCGCGGCGCTGAGAGCTGCTGGACTACGATCTCATCCGCAGGCGAGATCGATAGAACGTGATGATGGTGAGCAAGGCCATCTGTGACACCGATGGGTGGACGGTTCACCGTCTCGCCGTCTCCATGACGAGACTCCGACTGTAATCCCGTAGGCGACCAGGAGGTAAACGACCCCCAAGTAAGTTAAATACTGTTTTGCCGAATTTGCCTGCTCACCGTCTTCATTTCAGCGGTCCGTTAACCCAGCGACTGGAAAATATTCAGACTTCCAACGGTGACGCCATCGAGGAGACTCGGTAGCGTTTACTGCAGGACGTTATTCACTCGGCTGCCTTGGCTGTCCTTGGACGCGCACTTCGTCAGCACCAGGGCTGGTTCGACAACGACGACGCAGACATCAGTCAGCCACCTGTTGAATGGCACAGGCTATACACGGACCACATGAACCATCGGATCAAAGCCAAAAGAGCCGTGGTTTGGAAGGCTGCCAATTGACGATGAAGATCAGACCTCTTAATCAGTCTGGTGTGTTTTTGTGCGGAGTGGATAAATGATGGACTGAGAGTCAGGCTGCTATGGCTCCTTCATAATGTGAACCCTAGGGCAATCCCACTCCGTGGGATCCGAGACGGATGTTGCGGCACGCCTTGGGACGGCTCCGGCCGCGTCGGCCATCTGCGTCCTCCCCCACCGCCGGTCCTCTTGACTATGTCTCGACGCCAGACCCGGTTGAGGGAGGAGGAGAGAGTGCTCCAGATGACGCTCAATTCAACCATCATTACAAACTAGTTCGCGTGCATGTCACCGTCCCTGCTCCCAGCCTGCTATGAAGCACACGATGGGACCTCGTTGATCACAACGGTAAAAGTTTTATGTGTGTATGTGATAGAGAGAGAGAAAGATTGGGGGCACGCGACGGTGACAAACGCATGAATTTGTTCCTAGTGGAGCAGACTAGTGCCACATCTGCATGTATAAATCGCTCCTTTCACACCTACCCTTATCCGATGACGGGGCAAAGTCAGGGGGACCAAAGGTAGGCGTGGGCGCAGTAGCTAACAAAATTAAACAGCGTGTTCAATAGTGCCACTCATTACCTGGTCCTTAACTCCGCACATACCATACTCAACACTCAAGGGCTCTCTCCGATCTCTCACAAGCGAAAGTTGCACAGAGGGAGCATTAAAAAGGATCCACTGCATACAAACATTCATTTAGAAGGACGAACGTGCTCTCATATCGGCTGACATCTCTCCAATCCACCACATTTAGATAGACCCAGTGACGGCGGATTTACTATGGCGAGGAATGCGCCGATTTGTCACGAAGAGGATTTCTTCAGAATCAGCACCCGCTTTCATGTACCAGTAACCGCTCCGGGCATTTCAACGGACCAGAGAGGGGATTGGGCGCAGCGGTTGACGTTGTGTGAGACTCACTTCAACGAGTCCAACGAGCCAATCAGAACCCTGACCACAAACATGCGCTCACACACCTGGCGCAGTCGGTCCACCACTGGGGTCTACCAGATGGGTCATAAGCTCTTCATCTAACCAAAATTCATCAGTGCCTCGCCGCCTGCCATTTTCAATCTTTGCAGATCAGGTATTTATTCACTCAGGGATGTGCGCAAACCGATCCATTGGCTTCCAAAAGCAATAGATATATATATTCTCTGGAGTTTACATACCAGAAACCGCATAGAGAGCGATGGGGACCCATTCAGCAGCCGAACACCTCGCAGCTGTATCGTGCAGCAGCGGGTGTCGGTAGCACGTTATAACCATATGACATATACAAGGGAATTATCTAACTTATATCCCTGACATTTTTAGGGGAAATTGCGAAACATCTGGTCAAACGTCTAAAGAACGGTATATTTTTTAACTCACGCAAATAGGCACACTTATCGCACTATAGTTTACGAATTAGCGCCCGCATGCGTCCTATTTACAAACGCACACGCATACGGAGACGTGGTTGTGCTAATAAACACGCCCTATTTTGGAAACCGCCCAAACTTCAAGTAATAGCATTTTCCGCGGGAAAAACCAGAACGCCGTGGTGATACAACTGCCATGGTGATTACGTTGTCTGTAGAGGTCAGTCGTTTCGCTTTCTGAAAATTTTTTTTAAAAATCGAAACTCACTCTGCCCTTCATGGAACAAACTGGTTAGTTAAAGTGAACTCTGGTTCCACTTTTTATTGCTGGAGTGACGCTTAATGGGACCGGTCCGATTGGAAGTCTGGTGACGGGCATTCAATCTTACAAGTTAATCAAGCGTTTCCAGCAGAGGGTTGAGCTTATATGCTCTTACAATCCTTCAGTGGATAGATGAAGTGTCGTTAAGTATAAATTATTGTATGTTTAGTGCCTCTCGGTACTGCAACTCCACCCAGGCAGTCTCAACTAAGTAAGGACATTTTTGAAGAATTCGATCAACATTATTTTGCTTTTCTAGAATTGTTTCCCTAATGTCAGATTTCTGGCCGTTTTATACGCTGTAGATAGGCCTTTTTGAGTTCAGATGTGTGTATCAAAACCGTTTTGTGCTGATACTTCTGGAAATACTCGCTTTAATCAAATGCCTTTAAGATTGCTCGAGACGTTGTGTAATTAACACCCGATTCGAGAGGACTCAAAGTCCTGTTTTCAGCGTTAACATTATTAGTGCTCGCTTTAAGCTCTCTCAGAAGTTTAAGATTAGCACATAACTAGCGCTTTCTTGCGCGCTTGCTTTGTTACAACGAGGTTGTTCAGCCGGTCGACTGGGTGTCACCTAAACCATCAGCAATGTCATTTAGAGGCATTTGAATGACGCAAGACCCCTTTTGATCAAAAACATAGAAATGCTAATTCCATCAAGTTGTTAGTTGACTAATAGCAAAGTATTATGTCGAGATTCCCCAAAAGGCGTTGTTAGGCTCAAGGAAGTTGGGGCAGACAAAAACATACGGTGCGTTGGCAGATTTTCGGCTTAATACTACTTGAAACAGTTAACATTTCTATGACTTTTGAGTTCAGTATTCAGTCGGAAGACGTTAACAGTGATTCAATTTTCCCTGACTTAAGAATATGTGATAATGCTAAGTCTTACAGAACATTTATAGGACCTCTTCCAGAATAATTAGCACCTGTAAAACGTACTAAATGAGTAAACAGAGGAGCTAGAAAAAGAAAAAAGAATGAGGGAAGGAGGGTGGAGATAAGGTGGAGGAGGAAGGGAGGGGAGGAAAATTCCGTCGAAACCTAGGCGCAAGGATAATGCCCTAATGTGGAGCTGACGTCATTGAAGAAAGCATTTTCGTTCGCCAGACGATACGCACAGAGAAAGACCGAGCGAGAGAGTGAGTGAGGGGGATAGAGAGAGGCGAGAACAAGTTTTCGACAAAACAAGATGACAAATAAGAGCGGTGGAGAAGGAAAAAGACGACAAAGAAGAGAAGGGGAAGCCGACGAAGGGGTGGAACGAAGAAGAAAGGTGGAGCGGGAAACAGACGCAATTTGGTGGTCGGAGTTGAACAACAAGTACCACTGATATCCATCCACAAAGTCTGGGCCTTAATCCCTGTGAGTAAGCAAGAAGAAGCCTTGTCGAATATCCGAAAAATTTGTCTCCACGCCCTCGGACTCCTACCATTGTACCCGATCGCAGCCGACAGGACAACGATTCCGTGGCTCCGTGGTTAGGGGCATTGAACATCTAAACAACAGGTCGAGCCCCGGGTGTTCCGCACTTCGAGGTTGGGTATGACTGGCTGACGACAGCTAATGTGCCAGAAATGGCCATTCCATTCCCCTTTGTCTTTGTCGATTATGCCCTTCGGCCTCTTCCATATAAAGAAGAGAACTTTTTAATAAACTTCAGGGTCAGAATTTAGTTTGCTGTCTTTATAGTCTGATCATTCGATTACCCATGGGTACAGCGTCGATTATTTTAAATCATTTACATTCTTACAGGAGCAATGTGTTTGAGTTTTTTCATTAAAACCAAAAAGACTTTTGACCGGCTTCCGGGCCGAGCATTCTTCATTAATTCACTGGAAAGGTTTTATGCGCTAAATCAGACGAATGTGAGAATGGTCGGGCTTTCTTTAGTTGTGTTGTTGCACAACTGATGCCACGCCCATCTGTGAGTCTGGTCAGAGGGGTATGGTGTTTATACCGCCTTTTCGACCTAAAATATTCTTTACTAGACTCCAGACCAAAACACGTGTTCCATTCTGCATGCCGAGAAGGTGCGTTTACAACTTTCATCCTCGCCTGCAAGCACCGCGACTGATACATACCACGGAAAATAACCAAAGAGACGAAAAGTACGGCCTTTTTTACCTGCAACATGTGCTATCTAGCGAAAGTGAGGCTCCACCCCCCATACCGGACTGTCGCCAGGGCTGGGGTATTTGACGGAAAAAGTGAAATCAATGGCCGATGACTGTCAGGCCAGATTGGTAGTCGTCATCACTTTATTCTACAACAGTTCATTTGAAAACTGTTTAAGTAATGGAACTTTAAAGTCCAAACTACGTTTGTCATGAAAAAACGCATTACAGACCTTCATCTGCGAATATCACTGATGATGGATTCGAGTGAGAATCCGAAACGTCAGGCCAACGAATTTCTTGTTCCAGTGATCGCATCCTCGTCTTCAAAACGCATTACATTTTTTTTCATTTCTTAGCCTTACTATGAACAAATCAACGCTTCTCAGATATTCTCCTCTAGCTTTAGTGAAGATCCTGAGCCATTGCATTCGACGGTCAGATCACTGCTCAAATTCCACTGCGCTTTCAGAGGGCGAAAAAGTACTCCCATGAACTCAAGACACAGAACCACCCATTGTCCCCTTCGCCTTTGGAAACTGCTGGCAGTCCCGAGAAGCCAAGTCGTTTCTTCTACCCATCCGCAGATACTGAGAAGTCATGCACACAGCTCTCCTTATATGGCGCACTTTGACACCTGGCCCGCCAATGCCGCCTGTGTGGCTTCATCCGATCTGCATGTCACCAT